ATATATATATAAATAATATATATATATAATATATTATATATATATATATATACATACATACATACATTTATATATATATATATATACATATATATATATCGTTAGTGCTAAGCATATTCTGCGATCTGCATTTGTTGACTATTTACTCGTGAACAGAAAGATGTATGCTCATAACTCTGCATCCACTCATAAAAGTGTCTGTCGTTGCCCTCGTACAGGTGTCTATGTGTGTGCGTGTAACACACCTGTGCGTGCATGCTTCCAGCAGCATGGTCGCTGTATTCTCCACAAATCGATCCTCCACATTAGAGCTGTACATATTATCAAACAAGAATTGGAGTCGTTCCTGAAATAGTGAGATGGAAATATTATGAGAAAACTGTTTCCAGAGAGAAATCAGGACTCTATCGGAAGCCAATTTCGCGTTGCCATGGAGACGGCAGAGAGAGACAACTACACGTTCCAGGAATGAGTGAGGATGTGCACGATACTGCCAACGACCGAGGATGTGCACGGTACTGCCAACGACCGAGGATGTCAACGATCTCATTATCCCAAAATCCTTAACTCTAAACCTCAATCCCTGATGATATAGTCACATATAAGATAGGTATAAAATAATATAATCACATACGAGATTCTGAGCAAACTGTTACAGGGACCATTTCTAACTTACTGGTGTAAATGTATGTGTGATAACATATCCATCGGAAACATATTACAGCAAGTCTTTTGACGTTACACACCACTGTGGTACTATATAAGCAATACTGCAAAACCTGTAACCATGGTAACTACAACCTACTTCGATTTCCGCGGGCATCTTCTGCTCGCGATACCAGAAGTCGGCGGCCAGATTGCGCACGTGTTCACTCGTGTGCGACAACAGACGAATCAATTCATCGTGAATTAAACCGACTAGCGAATCTGATTGGTGGACACCATTGCCTATGCGCGCGTAGCACGCACTAAGCAAGGCGATGTACGTTGTTGCACACTTCAGAGAAAGCAAAGAGTGTACGAATGATCGGATTAATGCATAAGTGGAAGTATACGCTTTCTTGATAAGACGTTGTGATAAGTCAACAGTATATCTCAATACCATATCAAATGTATATACACACACACACACAAACACACACACGCACACACGCACACGCACACGCACACGCACACACACACACGCACACAAACACACATATATATAGATATAGTTATAGTATATATATATATATATATATACATACATACTACATACACACATACACACATACAGACATATATATATATATATATATATATATATATATATGATATTAGTAGTATTGTTCTTAATACTAATACTACTAATACTAATACTAATAATAATAATAAAAATAAAAATAATACTAATATTAATAATAATAATAATAATGATAATAATAATAACAATAATAATAATAATAACCGTAATAGTAATAAAATTAATAATAAAAATAATAATAATAATAATAATAATAATATATATCTATATCTATATCTATATATATATATATATATATATATCTCTATATTTATATATATATATACATATATATCAGAAAGGAAACTTATGTACCGCGCAATGCGTGCACTAAATCATCTATAAATAGCACTCACTATCCCATCCTCCAAATGTCACTCACACGCTAATTCTAAAAATAGCACATCTACCTACCGTCTGGTCGTCTACAATGACCATCTGTCTGATGAGTTGGCTCATATACTGGGAAATGGCACTGGCACACTCATTATTGTCGTATGTTGGGACCAGGGCCAACAGAATCTTGAGCGTAGCCCTATGATAAAAGCGCGGGCGGTGTTATGTTTGTTAGTTTTCTCATTACTGTGATAAATATCTGCGTATAATGCAAGTATTATTTGTGTGTATCTATGTCTATAATGTATATTACACATGTATCTAGATATAAAAATAAAAATGATATCTAAACATTAATGTACATATGATATCTAAACTTTGAATTATATATATTATCAAAATATAGAATTACGTACGGTCCTTTAATATAGCATACCCATGAGCTATTTAAATATAGAATCATCTATGATATCTCAATATAAATTATGTACGCAATATGAATATAGCATACTCATATGCTATCTAAATATCTAATTATGTATGATATCTGAGTAAAAAAGTATATATGGTATCTTAATATGGCATACACAAAGGATATCTGAATCAAGAAGAATATATGCTACCTAAATAATGGAAAAACATATGCTATCTTTTCTAAAATTATTTATGTTGTCGAAATAAAGGGTTACCCATATGCAATCAAAATATTAAAATATATACGATATCTAAATATAAATTATGTAGAATATCATAATATAGCATACCCATACAATATCTATATATATATATTCATATATGCTACCTTATTAAAAGTTATTTATGATATCTAAATATGATATACCCATATGCTATCTAGATATAAAAATATATATGGTATCTAAATATATAATCATAACGCCAACTAAATGTAAAACAATATATGCCATCTAAATATGAAATTGTATAAGCTTTCTAAATATAGTATACCCACACGGTATCTACAAATAGAAATATACATGATATCTAAATATACAATACCTACGAATTGTATTCTTCTATACATATAGTGAACAAACCGCTACTAAAGAGTTCGTACACAGGTTCATTTAGTCTTGTATTGATCAAAACACTTGTCTTTTCGTGTATTGAACTCATGCATGTCCAATGCAACAAGATGACACCACACATAGCACTATAACACTATACATATGGATATGACACTAGCATCCTTTTTAACACTACACATATCATTATAGCACTACGCCTAAAAACAGACCACCTTACATATTAATAGAAGCACCTCACATAAAATTATAACACTTAACATAGCAATATATAAAACAGATGTTGCTATAGTACTACACATGAAAACATAACACTTCATATAACCTGCACACAAAAATATATAACATAACAAATAATACTACAACACACCAAACTATAAATTTGGAACTAGGGATTTAGGGATCTATGCAAATATACTATAGCACACACATTAACAGTGATGTGTTACACATACAAACCATCACCCACAATTTACCTTAGTACTTGCTCGTCGGCGGACGTGACCAGTTTGTTCACGTGGTCGCGGAGATGGATCTTAAGGTCAGGCACCGATGCAGCACTCAGCGCAAAAGTCTCTACTAACAACCGCCTGTTTCTGCCTGTGAGGATGTGGATGGCTTAGAATGGGCAGGTAGGTAGGTATATATTGTTGCAGATGCAGGTATGTAAAAGTTGGTCACATACTCAGGGCAAATATCTCCACAAGCAGTCGCCTGCCTAATGTATATACAAA